TTCATCTCTAAATGTTTGTTCTCACCTTGTTAGCCTATTTCACAATTAAAAATTAAAAAAAAACAAATATATATATATATATATAAAAGGAGTAGTGGAAATTTAATATAAAAAATTTATTTAGAATTAGTAATTTACATATTACTTTGCAAATGCTTGTTCATACTTCTCTATCCTTTGCAACATATCATAAGATGAGTTTCACTTATGGGGACATCAAAACATGCTTCTTCTTTTTTTGAAATTAAGCTCCTTAAATGCAACCACTTCCTTAAAAGTTTTTACCCTTGAAGTACTTTGCCTAACCTACTTGCAACAAGCTCTTACTAATTCCACAAAATTGTTGTATAATTTCATACCATCATAGACTACAAACGCTACACAATGGATATGTATAATAAACGGTACTCGGTATGGTACTCGATATGGTACTCAATGTTCGATACTTTTGAGTTGGAAATCGAATTCCATCCTAAAATACTAATCGGTACCATTCTTGCACCGGTCTCTTGTTCCTGTCGGTATAAGTCTCGGTACCAATTCCTTAAAATTTGGTACATACCGACGGGACAAAACGGCATTCCCGACTTTTGCTCACCCCCACATTTACCCTTCTTTTTCAAGTTCCAACACTATAAACCCTTCTTGCCTTCTTAATACCTTGGACAATAATCACAACACACTGAGTTTTATTTTTGTGAGAAACTCACCGATGAACCCACCATAGATCAAATAGAGATGCCACCATTTCTTTGCCAAACAAAGCGCAACTAAATCAAAAATAATTTCAAACCACTAAATACCTAGACCAACCCTATAGCTTTACTTGATATTTGAAGCTATAAATCAAGAAAAGAAGTGCCCACGCTAATGGAAATGAAGTGAGTACCGAAAGGATTTTGGAGAAAAGAGATGTTACAGACAGAATATTCTTGATTATGTTCACATTATAATTGATTGACATAATTAGATTAATTGATTTTGTACTGTAGAATATTCTTGTGTATAGGCCTATAAATAGGCACCTTGTATGGTCATATGAACCAAGAAAAAAGTTTTTCTTCATATTTTTGTCTCCTGCATTATTTGCTCACATGGTATCAGAGCATAGTGGACTCTTTTATTTCTTTAAGATTTTGTGTTTTTAATTCTTTACATCAGTAGCGTTTCGTGCCGACCAGCATCACTTGTTTCAATCACATTCTCAAACCAACACCATTTCTAGTGGTGTTTGTTCCGATCGTATTCCACTCGTTTCGATCGTGTTCCACTCGCAAATTAGTTTTGGATTTGGCTGTTGTGATTGCTGCTATTTCTCCTATGGGTTCCTCTGATCTTTCGCTCAAATTTGGCTATCGTGATTGCCGCCGTGTGTCCAGAATTCTCGCTGCACAGATCTTTGCCATCCGAAATCCCTCCCATCTTTTTCGGTGTGCCATTTCAACTCGGTGTTCTGCTCGGTCAGATTTTCTTTTCTTACAGCATATCCTTTTTTTATTTAATTATGGAGAAATATGATATTTTGCAACCAATTTCAACCATTTTCAATGGTTCAAATTATGTACTATGGGCTCAAAGTATGCGCAGTTTCTTGAAGGGTCAGAAATTATGGCGGTATATTACTGGTGACATTACACTTCCACAGAAAGTTGCTAATGAGACAGATAAGAAATAAGTTGAACATTTGGAGGACTGAGATAGCAAAAATCATCAGATCATCACTTGGTTTCGTAACACCTCACTTCCTTCCATTCATCTTCAGTTTGGACGGTATGAAACAGCTAAGGAAGTGTGGGATTTGCTTGCAACAAGGTATACCACTTTTGATTTATCTAGTCAATATCAATTGTGGGAAGAGTTACACAATTTGAAATAATAACGTGGAGAGTCCATTACTAGTTTGGTTAAAACCCCTTTTTGGTCCCTGAACTTTTGTACGGACCCCCGATTTGGTCCCTGAACTAAAAAAATCCCTGATTTGGTCCCTATTGTTTACCATTTTTACCCCGATTTGGTCATTCCGTTAAAAATTGTGTGACGTGGCCTGTTACTTCACGGTTACCAAATGACATGTCATATAATTGTCCACGTGGAAGATAATATAACCAAAAAGTGATGATGTGGAAAAAAAATAATATAAAACAATATTATGAAAAATAAAACTTAAAATTTTTTTTCTTTTTTCTTTTTTTCTTTTTTTCTTTTTTCTTTCTCCTTCTCCTTTCCCTTTCTCTTTCTCCTTCCCCTTCCCCTTTCCCTTCTCTTTCCCCTCGGAACCCAGCAGGCCTGGGTTCCTTCAAACCCACCCAGGCGCTGGGTTCCTTGCGAACCCAGGCGCTGGGTTC